ATTATTGCTTTTTATAAAATTTTAGCAATTAAATTTTTATGCTTCCTTTTTTAAAGAATTCTTAGAACTAACATTTTTTAAATATTTTTTATGTGTATACTATATGTTGTCGCCACTAAAGTGTGCTTGGCGAGATTTGCGCCGGCGAAACGGAAAAGTACCGAAAATATATTTTAAGGGAAATTATAAACAGCAGCTATTTATAAACAGGTAAGTTACATAAAAATTGCAATGAGCATTAAAAATTTTATGTCTATATCAACAGAAAGGGATTTGTTAATATGCAAGCAGTGTGGAATTAAAATACGCTTTTCATGCAAGAAAAGTTGTTTATAAATGCATGCATTGCAAATAAATACATGAACATATATGATAGTACAATGTATATAAATTTTACATACATAGTTTATAGTTATTAATGTCAAAGTTTATTTATATATTATATCATCAAACAAGAATAAAACAATATCCCATTTTATGACTATTCTGAAGTTAAATTTTATTGAATATATTTTTACATAAATTAAAATATGAATTTCAGAAGCTAGAGCAGAATGTTTCATTTAACTAAAATAAATGCCAATTTTCTTATTTAGAAATCATAATAAAGATTTAATTATTGGTATTGAAGTGGCAACTGTGGCTTTCTCAAGGATACGAAAGCTTATCATTCTAATGTTTAATAAGCACATAAAATGCAAAAGTTAAAATAAATAAATAATAATTTTTAATTAACTGGATGAATAAAAATAGTTATTTTGAAAATTAGAGTCACACTGGGAAAAAAAAAGTGTTTAAAGCAGTATATGCGTAGGCTGATTGAAAGGGTGTAGACTGTTTTTCTTATTAAAAAAACTTTATGGGCTTTCATTTCCTTTACCTCTCTCCTAATTTAAATCTTTTACACTGGACTTCACATTTCACAGCATTTTGCAAATATTACAAAGATGGAAAATGTACTGTTTTATGAGATATTCAACACTACAGATTGAAATTTTTTGTTTTCTCATCAAAGTTGAAATTCCCACATTTAATAAAATAAATAATTAATAATAAATTAAATAACTTCAGGTGTATTTTTGTAATATTTAGTATAGCAAGCATAGATATTTTAATGTTTAGTCAGTAACTTTTAAAATTACTATAACTCGTATGGCTTTTTCATAGTGTTCTCGTGAATTAAATCTATAAGATTTGCTACATAGACCACTTCAACATGCTGCGTAATTTATATGCATAAATTAAAATATTGTAGTGTAGATCCAAAAATTAACTGAAAGCACTAATTTGTTTACATCATTAATGGTAAATACTTTTCTTTACTGAACAAGAATAGAGAAAAAGTTTATTTTAAATATTTCTTATCATTTTTCAAAAGTATTGAGAAAATTTTCTATACTATTTACTGTAAATACCGTGTTTTAGTACACAATAAGATTTTCTGAGGAAATAATCTGGATTGGCACAGCTTTAGTATTAGCCCATTTTGGTGACTTTTGGAATTGTTTTTGACGACGTTTGGGTGGGATAATTGAAAACTTATGGTAACCCTGAATACTGAGCTGAAACCGACGACTTCATATAAGAGCAGCCACGCTAGACCTAGTCGCCACCGTTAACTCTTTTAAAGGCAGGAAAAGGCAATTAACTCTTTCAGCAAAATTCTTGTTTTATTTACTGTATTACAATGAAATTATTTGTTACAATTACACATATTTTGTCCAAAACGCGTGATAAAAATAAACACGGCTAATCTTCGGAATATGGTAACAGGTAGTTTGGCGACATTTTGGTAGGCGATAAAGGTTACTACCTAGGACTTTGGGAATAATGTGAGAAGTACTCAGTTCCGATTACACATTATTTTGTGTGAGGGAAATGAGAGATCATGAGATATGTCATGTGACATTAATGGACGAATTACAGTTCTTTAATCAGAAAAGTGGGGAAATCTGGAAAAATATCTGCAGTACTTTATAGCATTTTGTATTTCGCTTCATTCTGTGTTGTGTGAAACAGTGTTGGTTAATTTTTGGATCCCATGGCCGTATCTAAAGTGAATTCGAAATGGGTATCTAGTGGGATTGAAAGAGGTAGTATTAAGTGTTTTTTTAAGGTTGTGCGAGATAGAAGTAAAGATGCTTTTAAGTTTTATTAAGCATATATTCTATCTGGTTACAATAATAATATCTGATTGCTTGAAGTCATATCCTGTTTGGAGGATGAAGGTTTTCAACATCTTGCTGTGAACCAATAAGTATCATTTTAAAGATCCTGAAAACAGCACACATACGAATACAATAGAGGGCATGTGGAGTACTATAAAAGCGCCATCCGAGCATTATGATAAAGAGAATTCTGCTTTTATTTAGCGGAGGAAGTATGGCGGAAAATTTGCAGAAAAAATCATTCAATAATTTTATGAATCAATAAGAAAAGTTTATCCGCCACGTAATCAGATTTCTGAAGAAGATTAAGTAAGTTAGATTTTTAATTATTTGAGGATATTATTTTTATGTATTGTTCTGAGTAAGGAGTAAATAAATTAATATGATATTTGGAAAATTGTTATTACAATGATTTAGTTAAAGTAATTAGGATGTAGCTAATTTTTTATTAATTTAATGTATGTGCTTATTTATATTTTAAGTAGTGTTTTTAATTTAATAAATGATAGTTTTTTGTGAATTAATGTTTGTAGCATTTGGTAATGTTTCAGTGGAAGTAAACGTGCATGGAAAAATTTAAATATTTGACACTAAGTATTTGCAACATTTTTAATTTTGCGTTATAAATTCGTTGGTGACGTTTATAATAGATATTTAGAGGTAAAAGTTTTCAGATATTTTTTTATTTTATATGTGCAAATGTTTATCCTTGGAAAGGGTATATACTTTTTTGCGATCAGGTAATTTCATATATGTCCTTTTACCGAATTTAAAGATTCACAAATTTTCATGCATTTTCGTGAATTTTTCTAATTTATGAGAAAAAAGCAGTGTACATGATATAGCAAGAGTGTGCGCAATGCATTTTTGTGCATTCTGGGATTTTTTTTAAGTAAAAATAAGTCGACGTGTACATGGTTTATTATATTTAAATTAAATGATAGTTATTTTGTGAATTATATGTTTGTAGCAATTTGGTATACGTTTCAGTGGAAGTAAACATGGCATGGAAATAATTTAAATATTTGACACTAAGTATTTGTAACCATTTTTAGGTACAACTCTAATATACCCCCTAATTTCACCAAATGTGGTGATATGTGTTCTGCGCTGGTTTTTGGCGCGTTTGCGTGTTCTATGGCAACCCTGTTGACGTTGAAAAATCTTTCGCTGGAGCTGGTTGGTTCGCCTCTGTGTCTGAGAAGATGGGAGAGAAAGATAAAATGGTAGTTGTTGAATTGAAGTTCGGCAAAGGAAATATGATTGTGGCTATCCTGTTGAGAGGTAGTGGGTATTTGGAACTGTGGAAAGAGGGTCTGGGAGATTATTTTTTAATGGCAGTGCATGATAGAAGTAGGGATTTGTGAATTTTATTTATTTGTGAACCATAGTATAAATTTTCTGGATAGTGTGTCTGGCTGTCATGTAAATACGATAGTGATTACGTGGCGGCATGTTAAGGCGGTATGAAATTTATATTTCTGCTATTCGAAAACGCATTAATTCATGGTAAGTGCATTTTATTTTATCCTTGTTCTTATTTTGTAGAATGTTATGTTCATTGGTTCTTTAGTATGAATTTCTGTCGTTATTGTTGTTTTTTTAAATTGTTTGAAATTTATTTTAGTTTATTTTGTTGTTTAGTGTCTAAACTGTACAATTCGTAGATGTTTTTTAAAGTTGAAACAGAACGCTGTGTACATGGTATTATTTGAAATTTATTGTTGTTATGTTAATTTATTAAAGCGAGGAGTGCGTAGATCGTAGATTCCTTCCTTGCCTAAGTTGTGCAATTCGTAGAATTTTTTTTAAGTTTAAACAGGATGCTGTGTACATGGTATTCTTTGAAATTTATTGTTGTTATGTTAATTTATTAAAGCAAGGTGTGCGTAGTTTGTAGATTCGTTCATTGCCTACATTGTGCAATTCGTAGATGTTTTTTTAAGTTAAAACATGTCGCTGTGTACATGGATTCTTGTCAAATATTTTTGGTTAGAAACTTTACGTTTTTGCCATCTAAATTTTTTGTTTTTGTTTTGGATTTTTAGCTAAATTGTGTGATCAAAATGTAGTTTTTGCATGTGCGAAAACCACGTTTTTGGAGACATTTTAGGCTAAAAGTTCAAAATGTAGACAAAAAGTTTAGATAGTAATATGGCAGCATGAAGCTTCTCGCCAAAAATATTTGGCGACTTGAGGGCGCATATCAGAGTAGTTCCCATTTAACTATTGATGTTTGCAGCTGCTATCTTACCCTAAGGGAAAACTGCACATAGTGGGTGAAACTGCATAAAGATCCCCTAGAGAAAAGTAATCACTTAAGTAGGCTACTGTTAACACTGTAGCATTCTACCTGTCATGGGGGAAGGAAATCCATTCAAACAAGAATTCATGTATATGAATGTTTTAGACATTTGAGAGAAACAAATTTTGGCCTCTACTCATGTGAAAGAGTTCAAACAGATAAATGAAACCTTAGTGACAGATAAAGGTATTACTGCTCGGTATGGCTTCTGAACTGCATAAAGTACATATGTTCAGTTTTGCACCTATGTATTTAGCCTGTTATCATAATCAAATAAAATTCAACTTATTTTATGATTTTTCAGTTCATTTCAAAATTATTATTTAAAAGTAGGAAAATTTTTAGTGTACCATATTAAGCTCAATTATCAATATGCACACTCTCTTATTTATTCTAAATTACTGAATTTTCCCCCACTTTTTCAGAATTTAATTTTTTCATTTTTATTTATGTATTTTGACTGTACATTTTTTCCTAAACAGAAACATAGCTTAAGTTAGTTATTTCAATAAACAAAGCACAAAATAAAATGGCACAATTTAAAAACTTTTTATTCACAATATTTATTTTGAAAACAAGAACACTGTAATGAGAGAGATAAGATAATATATTTAATCTTCCGGTTTGAAAGTTGGTCATTTTCTGAATTTTTGAAAAGATGCATATTAAATAATTTGGCATCATTAATATTCTGATATATTAAATTAGATTTGAGAAACAAACAAAGTCTTAAGCTACAATTAGATAACTAAAAATAAAATATAGTTTCTGCATACTTGAATAAACAAGTAGATTTTAAAATAATTAAAAATTACAGAAGTAAATACTATATTTTCAACTTTCCCCTCAGAAATGATAAAGAATATTTTATTATATGAATTAAAAAATAGAAACTTTAACTAATACCTGAATTTATATAAGGAAAGAAGAACAGAAATGTAGATATCTAACGCACTTCTGCTTTGAAATTCTGATGAGGCTGACATTCAATAGTAAATATAAGTTCTAAAAGATAATCAATGACAGCACTTTTATTCAGTTTCACAAGTTTCTCCATTTCCTTCATAGCTTTATCTGTGTCTAGTTCAATCTTCATAATATTGCTTTCCCTTGTACCTAGAAACTTAAGGAAAACATTATGTCAGATAGAATACCTTACAATTTAATTCAGCTTTATGCATTTAATGATTTCGGGATTTGCAAGTCTTTGCAAATTTGATAAATCATCTGCTACAACAACTTTAATGACCTATAACGACAACCATACTTAAATAATAACAACAATAAATAATAATAACATAACAACAATAAATTTCAAATAATACCATGTACACAGCATTCTGTTTCAACTTTAAAAAACATCTACGAATTGCACAGTCTAGACACTAAACAACAAAATAAACTAAAATAGATTTCAAACAATTTAAAAAAACAATAATAATGACATAAATTCATACTAAAGAACTAATGAACATAACATTCTACAAAATATGTTTCTCATTTTTTATGTACTAATTTCTCATGTTCAGTTAACTTATTATTGTGACAGTCCTGCTTTTTAAAATTTATATTTCATCTATACACGTTAACTGTTTTTAATTTGCTACTGATTGAAAAAGACACAGTTCCATTTTTCCACGAAAAGGAAATTCTATCATATGCTATCATATTTATAAGAACAATCAGGAAACGAAACTTACATGATGTTGCATAGTTAAATAATGTCTAAAAAGTTATGAAAAGTGGTTTACAGATAAAAAAAAAAATTCTTTTTTGACCATATTACATTTTAACTGATGTTGGTCTGAAGAAATTACATCAGTTAAGTGATAACAGAAACAAATATTTGCAATAACTTATGCCATGAGCCTAAATAAAATATGCTTAAAGAACCACTGGGGCAAGTATGGTATTATTGACCAAACTGTGACAAGAATAACTTTGCAAAGTGCTATGTTGCCAAAGTAAGAAACTCAGAAATTTTCAAAAATGTATATTTTATTTGGCAACCCATGAATGGTTGTATGCATTGTTTTGGAATTGTAGGGTTTTTTTTTTTTTTTTTACATAATGAACTGTAACTCAAGTATTAAGTTTGTCTGCTAAAGAAAAGAAAGTGTTGTATTTTTTCAGAAATATATGCCACTTCATCTAGTGCAGGAATGCACATATCTAAGAAGCTGTATTTTACAAACTATCAAAGTGTATAATACAACACCTGTGCTTTTGTTTGATGTAACCTCACTTGATTCTTAATAAGCCACCTTTTGTTTTCATGAACAAGGCTATAAATTAATTATTAATTATTTTTGAAAAAAAAATTGCAAAAAAACATCACATTTTTAAATTTTATTATTAAATACAAGGAAATGAAACAAACCAAAATATATAGGTTTTAAGTTGAATTTTTAATTTTTTACAGGTGTTAAAGTTTTTAGTTTTAATATTAGTTTACTATCCCGAGTTACCTCGAACAAATTTTAAAAAGTTAAATATTAGTCTTTGTATGATAGTTTTTGAAACAAGGGACAACACAAAGCGATACCTGATATTCTATACACTGATATCTGGTCTCTTTTCTTACTGGCCTACCTCTGGAATCTCTTTTACGAGAGCACAGAATACACTATTTCATTGGATTTGATTTTTTTTTTCAGTAGCAGGAATAACATCCGGAAAATGCCTTGAGGTTATGATCACTATATGAAAAATCATCGCTTTCGCTATCTTGCATCATCTCCATTACTTTACTTTTTTTCAATGCAACTATCCTTCATTACACATTACTAATCCGTAAGCCGACGTATACTATACAATAGGGAAAACACATGACCAGTCCTGCCAAAAGAACCACAAAACCAAAAAAACTTGCCAAACTGCCAATCAATATTTTTCTGAGCTGAATATTTCCTTTCCTTTCCTCCAGGCTGAGTAAAACCATGATAAAACAAATTGTACTAACTAATTCTGCTTTGCCCGAGTTTTCTTGGAATAATAATTAACTGCAATATATATACAAACCTCATATAACTCGGGATAATCAGGCAAGCAGTTAACCCCTTAACTGCAGCGGGTGTATATATATACGCCTTGCTCAGCCGTTAGCTGCCCCGGCCGTATATATACGCCATTTCAAAATACTATCATTTGCTTTGTGCTGCTACCCCTAAAATTATTCGTAAAGCTTTGGAATGCAACACAACAATGACCTTGACAATGTATGCAAAGGAAAATACCATTTCAGAGAAGCATGGGGAGAAATCAGAGAGAGGGATGTGTCTAAAGCCGTGAAAGTAATGACTGCACGGTATTGGCTGGTGTTGTTTGATTAAAATGTTTTTTTTTTTATTCTGTGTCCTCCGTTTTCGTTTACTTTTTGTAGTAGGTTCCAGGAATAAAGAAAGATATAACGGATGTTTCAAACCCATTTATCTTTTTTGAAGTATTTTTTGATAAACTGCTCGTGCTTCATATTGTTACTGAAACTAACCATTTTGTAGATGAGTTTATGAAGAAACACCTTGCAAATGAAAAATCAAGAACAAAATCGTGGCATTAAACCAGTTCAGAAGAAATACATGTTTTTTTAGGCATACTGGATTTCACAAGATTTAACACTGAAACCTGATATTATACTTTATTCATCTAAAAATGAATTGATCAAAACTCCAATTTAGGGATCTTTTTTATTATAAAAATATCATTTTTTATTATACTTCTAATATTAAATTTTGTGCATTCACTTTTTTTTTTTTATTTTATTTTTTTATTTTGTGAAAGTAAACAGTTTTTAGAAAGTAAAATTTGCACTTATTTTCCCTCTAATACATCACATAACTAAGCGTGCCTGCATGAAAACTGTGGCACTGGGAAATGAATCTTGTACGTTTTCCACAGCAGTTAAAGGGTTAACTATTATTACTGTATTTTTTCCTTTCATTTTGAAAGGAATTGTACAACCTATAATAGGAATACAAGGAGTCATTGGGTTATTTTGAAGCAGGAGATATGAAAAATAAGCAATGCCCCTGCCGGAACTTGAACTTGGACTTCTAGAATATGCGTTGCATGTGCTCCCATTAAACCACAAAGGCATGCTAAAAGCAGGGAGAAAATACCTTACATACTTCCCCTTTTAAAAGGTGACTAGGAATTAGGGGACCCAAAACTAATTTCCCCACATTTCCCACTTTCTTCCAATTTCCAGATTCTGTCAGTGATGAATTATCATCCATCACCTAGTTCAGGTGCCATTGTAGTATCCTAGAAAAAATAGAGTTCCTTAGAAGCTAGAATACTGAAGAACCATGTAGCTACTATTTGCCGAGTTCTTGTTGTATAAGTAACTAGAAAAAAGCCTGGCGGTTATATGAAATGACCGCTGTTCTAGATATTATAAATTGTAATTAAAATGATTTGTGCAAAGGTGTCTGCTAATTTAAACTGAATTACCCAGAGCAGACGGCGAGGATGCCCCTTTGCTTACTGCCCAACAGGGTTTCCCCCTTCTACTTGCTTAATAGCTTAAAGTAGAATGCTATGAAGGAAACCACTTAAGAGCTCACCGCTAGCTCAATCGATAAAGGTGATTTAAATAATGATATGTTAATTCACATGTCAAAGATCTCTTTGTACACAACATTTCTTGTGTAGATCTTTCCATCATTTTTAAGCTCGCCTTGCAGAGGACCATCTATTATTTTTTAATTTTACGTCCATTCTTTCATGAACTCTTGAACAGGCAACATAAAGTTGACCTTGTCCAAATGCAGGCTCAGGTAAAAATATGCCAGCATGCTTAAGCGTTTGGCTCTGAGACTTATGGATGGTCATAGCAAAGGCGAGTTTTACAGGAAATTAATTGTCTACGTCTCAATTGAAACGGCAACCCTGTGCCGTGGCTCTGTAATAGGGAAACCCAAGAAAGAAAGTAGAGAATGTAGGGAAAATGTAGGAGAAAATTAGTTTTTAATTAGTACCGGTCCATTGGCCCATTGGCTAGTACAGTTACGCAAGCAACCAATAAACTATCAGCGACAAACAGACACTTAAGCCGCATACATATATGGGGTGAAGTAACATCATCTCCTCCAAAACAGCTGTCTCCCGGGCTTAGCGAAGCACACCGTTGGATTCCGCAAGTCCGTGGCACGCCATTTTGACCATTCGAGTCTTCTTGGGACTTTAATTAGCCAGGATATTAATTAAAAACTAATTTCCTCACATTTTCCAATTTTTTTCTTGGGTTTTCCCTATTACAGAGATTTGGCTACGTGCCGAATTCTTTTTTCTTGAATATCTACGGAACGGCGCCAAGTTGAAATTCAAGACGTGTATTCTCGGATTTCGAAAAATTCTCCGAATCCATCGATACTATTCTCAGCTTCGTACGACTTTAATCGGCCGAGATATTTATTAAAAACTGCGGAAACATTAATTTCCGTGCTCATTTTTCCGAGTGGCAACGATAAACTATCAGCGACACACATTTTAGCCACTTATACTCCAAAGAAGGGTTAAATGAAACTTTTATTCCAACTCAAAATGAATGTACAGATGGCCTCTCTTGTGTGTAAAAGAAGCCTCCACTTGGGCTTTAACTCAAAATAGAAAATCTAAGACTAACTAATACTAAATAAAATTAATCAGCTGAAGATGCACAGAATCAACTTGCATAGTTGGCCCTTATTTAAGGATCACCGACATGTAGTAGCAGGCATGTATTAAGTACAATTGTAGAATAGCAAGCTTAAACCAATAGCAAAAACATGGCTGAAAACACTTCCCTACTGAAATAACTTGAACCTCAGCTTAAGTACTTGTTTCTACCTTATTTGCATAAATTGTAATCCAGAAAACTTATTCTGGTAGGGAAACGTAGGTATGAAACTAAATGGTAATGAAAAGGCTTGTTCCAAAGTAAAAATAACTATTAGAAAAATAAAATAAAACCCTACAGAATGATTAAAATTTTGGACCTGCCTCCTACAGATCAGCAAGAAATGGATTATTTTCAAAGTTATGGAATACTACCATAAAAATGTGTATTGATAGGCACAATATGGTCAACAAAATAGTAATAGATTGGAACAATTACCTGCAGGCAGTTTGAACTCAAATGTTTTAAATGCTGCCTCTGGTAAAATTAGAAAGCTTAACAAAATAGTAAAAATCACCAAAGAACATTTTACAAAGTGGAAAAAAGATTTGGGTTGAATACTGATTGCTTATTCATTAAAGAGAAGTCAGTTCCTTCACACATTCTACAGCAATTACTGGCACAACATTCATATTTCAGTGGCATCCAGGTTTTATTATACAACTACCAAAATTTCTTAAGCATAGGTATCTGCAACATAAATTAAAAACTGCATAAATGAACTACCATCCTCAATCTCCTTTACTCTAATTGTTGCCATACTCTAATCAGCATGTCTGATATGTTGATAGCTTAAATCAGGGTTTCTTAAATTGTGGGTCACGACCCCCAAGGGGGTTGCGAAACCTGCAGCAGGGGGGGGGTCGCCAAATCGTTTAGCAGTTTTGATATTTCTTTAACTTATTATACTCTAATCAGTTTTGATATTTCTTTAACTTATTATAATTATTTTACAATTATCAAATACTTTTTACACAATATATCTGAAAATAGATAAAGATAAGACAATCCAGACAAAGAAAAAAAAAAAATCGAAAACGTTTTGACACATTCTTTTTATAATATAAATGTTCATTTTCCTTGCTTTGCACATGATGCTGTCATTTCATTTATTACTTATTTAAAATTTTCACATTGTTCTATGTCTTGAAATTATAAATTAAAGTTAATGACCTAAAACTGCAATAGTATATTACATTACAAGTGAAAAAAATGACAGTTTCACTCATGCGTGTGTCGGAGTTGCACAATACTTACGAGGTCCCACAAAATTTTTGTAAATATTATTGGGGTCACGAAAAAATCTCAGTGATAAAAGAGGGTTGCGACTGGAAAAAGTTTATGAAACCCTAGCTTAAATCATTAAACAGTTTATAATAAACAATTCTGAAGCTTCTAAATTTTGTTGTAACAATTTAAGAAAAGCCATTCTTGAAGGATTTGATAAGACTGCTGTAGTTAAAACTAGACTTTTAAAAATTGAATATTTTCAGTTCAAAAGATATAGCCTTTCAAAAAAATTATTTTATCATCAAAACCATAATAATTATAAAATGTTATTAAAATTCTGTAGAAGTTTCAAATGATTCTGAAACTGATAAAAATACAAATGAAAAGAAGAAATCAAGCATATTAGAATGAAGACATTTTAATCAACTATAAGAAAAAATAAAAGGAACACTAGATGTTGTAACAGCAATTAAAAGATTAAGATGAATGTTCAAATTGTCATTTTACTGCACAGAAAAGTCATTTACCACCGAGTACCCAATGACAAATGACTTTTCTCTTGTGTTCAGTTTAGTCAGCTTATCACAAATAAATTGAAAAATATCAAATAAGCAGATTCAATGAAAATGTTTTGCTTACTTTAGCCTCAAATTCTTTAAACTCTTCCTCTTTTTCAGTCCTAAATTTTTGCATTTCTACCTGAGCTTCTTCTTTTGCTTGCTTCAGGCGCATAACTTTTCCTGTACAATATTATTATTTAGAAATTTAAACACAGTTAACAGGATATACAAAATTTTCAGCTTCTGAAAAAGCAATTATTCAAACTATGCATTCTTTCAATAACATGTGATAAATAATTTACAGTTATAGATGATAGTAATAATATCAAAATGCTAAATTAATATAATAAGCTTTATAGATTTAATAAATAAATTATATAGTAAAATAGGTTAAAACAGGGTGTCTAAGATGAAATACCCTAATTTCAAACATTTATACTCAACATAATAAACAACCCAGACAATTTTCTTAGGTGTAAGATGGAAGAGTAGTTTTAGAAAATTTATGTGACTATGAATGCTGAAAAAATACAAATATGTGTGCATGCAAGAACTAGGGTCCATTATTGCAATTCAATGACATTTCTGAGGAGAGCACCGTAGAAAGCCTCCTGACACTAACAGAATCAAGGCATGGAAAGCAGTGTTTCTGAAGACAGGATCTGTTGCTAAGGGACAAAATAGTGGACTATCAAGAACATCAGAGGAGATTGTTATTTGCATTTCATATACATTTACAAAAAGTTCAAAGAAATCCATTCATATATAACATCACATCAGCTTTGTATCCTAAAATTAACTGTCCATGCTAAAGCTTCATGCATACAAAGTGCAGTTGTTGAAACCTGACGATTAACTTAAACGAGCAACGTTGGCTGAAGACATTCTTTAGCACATGGATATCTTTTTTGGACAAGATTATATTTTCAGATGAAGCAACATTTCACCTCAGTGGAAAGGTCAACAGAACTACTCTTATATGCACCCTCAGATCGCCAAATTTCTCGCCAATCCACGCTACCCCATTACTATCTGAATTTTTTGTCTACATTTTGAACTTTAAGCCTAAAATGGCTACAAAATTGTGGAACACACAATTTAAGCTAAAACTCCGAAACAAAAACAAAATATTTAGATAGCAAAAACGTAAAGTTTCTAACCAAAAATATTTGACAAGAATTCATGTACACAGCGATATATTTTAACTTAAAAAAAATCTACGAATTGCACATTCTAGGCAGCGAAGGAATCTATGAACTACGCACACCTCACTTCAATAAATTAACATAACAACAATAAATTTTAAAGGATACCATGTACATAGCATTCTGTTTAAACTTAAAAAAACATCTACAAATTGCACAATCTAGGCATTGCACACAAATCAAACAAATAAACTAAACTAAATAACAAACAATTCAAAAAAACAACAATAACAACAAAAATTCATAGTAAAAAAACAATGAACATAACATTCTACAAAATAAAAACAGTAAAATAAAATGCACTTACCATAATACATTCCTGAATAAAATTTTGCCAGTCACACAATGTCTCTGAACAAAAGTGCTGCAAATCCACACAAGAACTATCAGAAACACCCTTCTTTGTCCAAGTTTTCATAGCAGCTCCGCATTTCGGGCTCCGTTTTAAAAGTCACACAGAAATTCCAAAAATACACTTCAATCCTCATAAACACACCCATGAACAAAAGACTTGTTAACAACTCCAACATCGTACCTTTTAATACTAAATTTACTTTCTACACAATATAAAATATGAGACTGAAATCCTTCCACTATGTCTATCATTGCAACACAGGCCATTTCAAAACACGCACGACACCATTCAACGAGCAATTAAACCACTCTAGGAAAAATATTTTCAGTACTTTTCCGTTTCGCCGGTGCAGGTGATACAGTCGCCAATAATGACACAACCGAAACCAAAGGAAATATCCTCGCTGGTAACCTTTTATGTCTCATTTTCAAAACAAGTTGCAGCAACAGTCTTTCAACACAGACATATAATTACATAGAATTTTTACCAGATAGTTCAATTTTATGCCCTAAGTAAATTCACGGAAATTAAGTCAATTAGGATGCAATCACACCACTCACCCGAAAGCAAAAATATAGAAAACGCAAAGTCAAGGGTTAAATTCATGAATTCTAATGAGAATGCACTAGCGAAGTACAGCACTGTGGTTTTACATAAGTAAGCTATTCGTACAAACTGAAATAATTCTTAGATTTAAACTTGTGTTCCAAACTAAGATTTAACTTGTAATTAATGTAGATAATTATTGAGAGAATTAGATTTTTGTAGCATAGTTTACATGAGATGAGATCATTTGAGTCACATGATATGAACTGGCAAATCAGGATGTTGAACCATGAAAGCATAGTAAATTCTTAAACTAATGCCTTTTTACAAAATTTTAAACAATATTAAAATGTTTATTCCTTCAAAATAAAAAATTCATAGAACTAAAATTTGTTAAAATTTTTTATGTGTATACTGTATGTTGTCGCCAATAAAGTCTGCTTGGCGAGATTTACGCCGGCGAAACAGAAAAGTACCAATTTTTCAACGTCAACAGGGTTGCCGTACAACACACAATCGTGCGTGCCAATAACCAGTGCAGATCACATATCGACAAATTTGGTGAAATTAGGACGCATATAAGAATAGAGCCAGGTCAACAAACACAATGTGCAAATTTGGGGTAATGAACATCCTCAAGATGATATAGGTTATCAACGAGACAGCCCAAAGATCAACATTTGATGTAGCTTAATGGCAGATGAAATTATTTCACTTTTTCATTACACAGACAACTATCACTGGTCACATATCTTGATATGTTTGTTAATTTTGTGCTCCCTCAGATAAGATACCAAAATCATCACCTGCTCTTCCAGCAGGATGGAACACCTTCTTACTGGCATGTGGATGTTAATAACACACTGAATGATGAATTCCCACAAAGATGGATTGGGAGAGGTGGTCCAATCCCATGGCCACCTCAGCTGCCTAAAGTTACTGTCCTGGACTTCTTCCTGTGGGAGTATGTTAAGGACAGGATGGCTTGTATCAAAGTGACAACTTTGGAACAGCTTTCTGAGTAGATTAGAGTCACAATTGTGACAGTTATGCCACAGATGCTAAAAGATACCTGGAGACAAAGATACTGAGCTTCGATTCGAGACTCTCCATGCCACTTGTGAGGCTCATGTAGCAACAGTGCGCAATTGAACAAACAAAACTTCAAGACTTTGGGTCTCTATCGTTGTATGAATGTTTTGCATCAAATACATGATGCATTACAGACATTTCAAATTACAGAATTTCATCTCAGACACTTGATTATAAAAAATATAGGAATGGTTAAAAAATAAAGCAGGGAGTTCAGGTTTCAGTTTTTTCCTTATCTATGAAATAAATAAATGGTTTTATCATTTCCAAAGTTTTCACATTCTTTTACATCAGAATAAATGTTATTTACGCAATGCTATTTTAATTTAAGATGTTCTCCAAAAGTCTACAACTGCTTCTTTCCAAATTAGAATATTGGTTAAAGTAGACTGAAGGGTACCCCTTGTATTATTGGAAGTTGCTGTTTCATTTATCACCAAGTTGCTGTTTCATTTATCACCAAGTTGTTGTTTCGTTTATCGCCAAGTTGTTGTTTCATTCATGGTAACCTGAGTAGCTGAATGTTCCATAAATATACTTTTACCTAGAAGTGGGTGCTCCTTTGACTTTTTAAATGAAAATATATTGATGTGTACATGGACAAAGTCAAGGGAGTGCACAATAGCAAGTTTGTGCAATTCTCTGATGTTTTCTTTAAGTGAAAATAGGTCGACATGTACATGGATGAAGTCGAGGGAGTGTGCAATGCCTAGTTTGTGCAATTCTGGGATTTTTTTTTTTTTTTTTTTAAGTGAAAATAAGTCAATGTGTAACCGAGTTTACACAATTCTTTGACTTGTTATTTTGACTTTGTGCAGTGGCGATTTTTGGTACATAAAGCCAAAATAACAAAGAATTGCACAAACTTGGTATCCATGTATCGCCAAGGGGTACCTGTAAATATACTTTTACCAAAGAAGTTTTGCACTAGGTTTCAAGTTTTATAAATCAGGTCTTGAATCTACTTTAATTGTTGCTTTATGATTACATACCTTTGTTGCCTGATGAAAAGAATAAAAAATATATCCAATCCAGATATTGTAATAATTTTCTAATTAAAGAAATAAAAAGTTAGGTTAAGTTATTTAATTATGGCAAAGCCTCGAGGGCTATCTGCCCAAGGGAAGGGATGCCTTCGTTGAGGACTTTCTAAGGGAAAACTGGCTCGTATACACAATACACATGGGGAAAACACCCACGCAGCCAGCCCATTCGCGGGATTCGAGCCTCGGACCGAACTACCAGTGTTCAGCGACTTTACCTCTCGGCCGCCGGTGGGCTGAGAAATAAAAGGTAGAATGCATTTGCATTACATGAAAGAAGTACCTCTTAAACCGAAATAATGGAAAGTTAAGAGTTTCCATGCAAAAGTAATAATGAAATTATAAACAGAAGTAATTTAAGATTAAAATATAATTTTAAAAGAACAAATCTATAAAAAAATTAGAAAATCAATTTTATACGGTTCATATTTTTACAATAATAAATCTGGAATGTAAAGTAAGTACAAGGATGTAAAAAATATTAAAATATTTTAGCAATATTTAGAGAATCCTCTTACGTTTTCTCGCTTGATTTACTTTTTCTTCTGCTCTTTTCTCAGCTACCAGCAGCTGCTGAATAGACTGAGAATCCTGTTTCATCATCTTAATGCCGTATAATTTTTAATCACACCGAAGAACTTAGAAGTCGAAGTCACAAGATGTAGCAAACGGTTATACGGCTACTTAACTGTTTAAATATCGAAGTGAAATAGAAAAGTATTGGTTTTCATCACACAAATTGGTATTTATAATTCATAACATTAAATATTGGCTATTTATAATTCATATCAATTTCTAAAAATATTACTTCATTTTTTCGAATCTTTAAAATATCAGCCTAGAGGACATCTATTTCAGAATTCAAAGTAGTTGAAACAGTTGATTGTGCGAGTAAATAATAATAGCATAAGTATAATATAGAGAATAATATTCGATTCAAATAAGTGTATTTTTATCTTAGCTAAAAAAGAAATACTAATCTTAAGTACTAATGCGCGGATTGAACCAATTGAACCTCCTTGATTGAAATTTGCTTATTCAGTTACTGAGTTTAACTGCAACCGCTTCGATTTTGTTTATTGTTTTATAAGCGCTATTTTTTGAAAAAATTTATGTGTTCTTGTATTCTTCACGATCTAGAATGCAGAATGCGAAGTAAATTAAACTGTCTTTATAGAACTATGTGTGAGTCCTAATTATGATGAATGAAATGGATGTTGCGACAACTCCTAAATTTAACCGAGGACGTAGTAGATCGAAGTATGTAATTTTATATTCTCATTATCAGAATGTTTTGGTTTTGTTAATCAATCGTCACAATAAGTAAATAAGTGATGTCATTAAACTTTTACATCTTTCTTCCCTTTCTATACGATTTCTACATTACTAATAGAACATTAAGTGAAAAACGAATGAATATTGTGAATTGGCATGACATTTGAAATATACTTAATAGTTAATAATAGGTATTGAAAAGTAAACAGCTGAAAGGAAAGTATAAGGTAAAATGAATTTTCAACTAAAAGCTATAATACTTACTTGCAAAAAATAAATAAGGGGAATAAATATTTAATTAAAATATTTAAATAGCCAAATAAAATTAAAATTGAAACTATTTTAAAACAAAATAAGTTTTCAAGAAAAGAAAAGTTAACCAGATGTAAATATTATATACACTAATGCTCACTATTTATTGTATAAATAAAAAAAGGTTGATCTTTAGATTATGGTAACTTGGCGATTTTTTGGTGAAAATTTGGCGACCAACTCTCTTACAGCAAACCTCTATTTTTTTTCCCCGCCGCCATTTTGTCTTCACGAAGTAAAGACATGTTTCTTTTCTTTTTATCTACTGAACACTTCTTCCAACAATCTACTAGCCGAATTACACTTATGCTAGAAATTTTATCTAACAAAACTGCTTAATCATGACAAATATTCACTGCAAAATTGGGGAATGTGCGCAATACCATACTCCTTACGCGTTTTTCAAAATAACACATACAACCTACACTAACCATGTACACGTCGACTTATTTTTACTTAAAAAAAAAAACATCCCAGAATTACACAAAAAATGGCATTGCGCACACTCTTCACTATATCCATATACACTGCTTTTTTCTCATAAATTAGAAAAATTTCACAAAAATACATGACAATTTTCTGAATCTTTAAACCCGATAAAAAGAACATATATGAAATTACCTGATCGCGAAAAAGTATATACCCTTTCCAAATATGAACATTTCCACATATAAAATAAATAAAATATCCAAAAACTTTTACCTCTAAATCATCTAATGTAATATAAACGTCACCAACGAATTCATACCGCAAGCATTACAAGTACTTAGTGTCAAATATTTAAATTATTTCCATGCACGTTTACTTCAACTAAAACGTATACCAAATTCCTACAAACATAAAATTCACAAATAACTAACAAATAATAATAAAATATTAATTAAAATATCACTAAACCATGTACACGTCGACTTATTTTTACTTAAAAAAAAAATCCCAGAATTGCACAAAAATGGCATTGCGCACACTCTTCATATCCATGTACACTTCTTTTTTCTCTCATAAATTAGAAAAATTTCACGAAAATGCATGACAATTTTCTGAATCTTTAAACCTGTTAAAAAGAACATATATGAAATTACCTGATAACGAAAAAGTATATACCCTTTCCAAATATGAACATTTCCACGTGCAAAATAAAAATAAAATATCCAAAAACTTTTACCTCTAAATTATCTATTATATTATAAATGTCACCAATGAATTCATACCCGCAAGCATTACAAATACTTAGTGTCAAATATTTAAATTATTCCATGCACGTTTACTTCAACTTCAACTTCAAAACCAAATTCCTACAAACATAAAAAACCACAAAATAACTATCATTTAATTAAAATAATTAATTCAAAAACACTACTTAAAATAAATAAGCACATACATTAAATTAATAAAAATTAGCTTACAATCCTAATTACTTTTAAACTAAATCATTGCTAATAAAATTTCTCCCAATAATACCAAATTACTTTACTTCCACCTTACATTTAGAACAATGCATAAAAATAATATCCCAAATAATTAAAAATACTAACTTACCTAATCTTCTTCAGAATCTTGCTTACATGGTGGATACACTTTTATTATGGATTCAATAAAATTATAAAATTATTCGATTTTTTCTGCGAATTTCCCTTCCTTACACTCTGTTTCACAAAATGTCCATTTTCACCAGATTTCTTGCACCGCCATTCAAACGTATCAGTTATATCCTTCCTTTCACACAATCTCATTTCATTCCCACATTTTGGACATTCATACTTATCCGGAATTAAACCTACACTCATGCACCATTCAACCAATTCTTTTGAATTATCACACAAACGCATTAAAAATCTAGAATTCACTTTAGACAGTGCCATACAATCCCAAAATTATTCAACCCTACTTCACACAACACACAATGAAGCTTAATACAAAATAATATACAGTCACAGATATTTTTCCAAATTCCCCCCTTTTCCGATTAAAGAACCGTAGTTCGTCCATTAATATCACATGACATATCCCATGATCTCTCATTTCCCTCACACAAAATAATGCGTAATCGGAACTGAATACTGCTCACATTATTACCAAAGTCCGAGGTAGTAACCTTTATCGTCTCCAAAATGTCGCCAAACTACCAGTTACCATATTCTAAAGATCAGCCATAAAAAATTGTGTTAAATTGCTCCTTAGGTATCAATTAAATAAATTTTATTTTATACAGTGGATCCCAAAGGATTCCAAAAGTGTTTGTACACGTTAAGAATTTAGAAAGAGCATTGTAGCCCAGAACTAAATTCGTTAAAATCCTAGTATACGGTACGGCCTAGTATATTGGCATGTGAAAGATCAAATTTGGAATTTGTTTGGTCATATTTTGTAAAATTTTAACGAATTTTTGAGAAACAAACTTAACAATTTAAAAGTGAGCAATGGAAAACTCTATGTGGGATAAAAAAACCTTTTTATCTGCACCGCGCGGATCTGTGTATCAGAAATTCTAAAGTTAGGATCATCTTAAAATTATTTTGCGAGATTGCTATTGAACTTAATTTTACAGTTTAAGTGCAAAAAACATGATATTTAATAAATAAAGGTAACACACAAAACATTAAAAAAACACCTCTTTGAATGTAACTTAAAATCTGAAACCTTTCAGATTTTTTACTATATGCATTGTGTGTGTGTGTTTTTTTTTTTTTTTTTTTTTTTTTTTTTTTTTTTTTTTTTTAATTTTTAAAAATGTGTCGTAGTTGTAAGGAAACAACAATCATTTGAAAATTGATCACTTTTCACGATAAGGGTGGAAATTCAATCTGGGTTATCTGTAACTTAGTAAATTTATCCAATTAGTAAATGTATCCCATTTATTCCAATTAGTCAATTTATCCCATTATTCTACGGTGCAGTATGTGATAAAACACTTTGAAGAAGAAAATCAAATTGAAAATAAAGTAAGAAGAGGTCATCTGGCAGTTTACTCAACCTAATCAAAGATTTTTAATTAGAAAATTTGTGAAAAATCCATGCTTGAGTGCTGTAAAGATTTCTGCAAAATTTATTGAAAAATGTTTTACTTTAATTTCACCTGAAACCGTTCAACGAGTACTCAGATCAGCTTGATTACATGGGCACTCTGCTCGAAGAAAATTTCTTGTAAATGTAAAAAATAGAAAGCTTATTCTTTTCTTCACAAAGTCAATGGTAAATATGCATGAAGCATGTTGGAACCATGTCTTATTTGCAGCCAAAAGCAAATTCAGCATTTTTGTTCCGATAAGCATATAATTCTATGGCGAAAAAAATGAGGAACTTAATCCCAAGAACTTGGTTGGAACTGTAAAGCAAAACAGTAGGAGATATCCTTTTGTGGGGGTGCATGTCAGCATCAGGATTAAGTAATTTATTATTTACTGATGGTATAATGAACCATGCTTTTATTGAAATATTTTAAATAATAATTTAAAATAATCTGCCTGAAATTTTGGTATTGGAAACAACTTTATTTTTTTATCAGGATAATGATCCTAAACACACAACCCTCAATATTTGCCTTTGATGTGTCTTTAATTGTCCACAAATTCTGAAAACACCACCTCAGTCACTAAATTAAAACCTGATAGAACACATTTGAAAAAAATTAGAGGTTAGACGATGAAGATACAGCATAAAAATGAAAATCTAACTAAAAATAGGAATGATGGAAGAATGAAGGAACAATTGATGCAAATATTGTAAAAAAACAATAACAAAAAAAAAAAAAAAAACTTGAGAATTCTATACTTAGACATTTTAAAAAGCTGTCATAAATGCTGCAGGATATCCTATAAAATACTAACTAACACAAGTACTACAATATTTACTAATATGGTGCAGATTTCTTCATATACTTAACTACATAAACTTGGCTATTGATTTGCTTAATAAGTTTCTCTACAAAATTGGAAGGGGAATTTTTTTATTTGCTGCATCTTGAAGGATGTATTTATATTTGTTCTCATAAAATTTGAGTGAACAGAATTTCACTCAAATTTTATGGCTCATGTTAAGTAAAAATAAAAAACTAAGACTTCTGTGAGGTAACTTTTCTGTTACTTTTTGCTTATTGATTTTCCAAACAAAAGGAAAAACTTGTTCATAAAATAACTAGTGTATTTTTGCTCTAAAAGTAATTTATAGATATTGTTGCAAAATGCCCAGCTGTAGTAAGATAGCTTCCCTGCAAAGTGGGTTTAGGGTTGCCAGGAAGTGGTAAAGAAAGGTGGAGTTGCCAGATTTGGCTCAAAATTGCTCATTTAGTGACAAAATTGGTGATATGCTATAGACTGAGTAAGAACATTCTAGAGAAAATTCTTCCCTTTTTTTCTCAGAATGTTCTTGAAACTAGGTCAAAAGCTGCATAAACCCTGCATGTATGCAGAGTAGCAGTTTATTGTGAGGAGTGTCTTACGTTCAGTAATAGTGCTTTGAGTTTAGAGATTACTCGAGCGATCAAGCAAGTCGGAAGCTGTACTTTAGTGCTTTGCCGTGAAGCCGTACTTTAGTGCTTTGCCGTGAAGCTGTCTTCAACGTTATAGCCTGATAGACTGAACGCTGTGTTGCTGATTGTTTCAACATATTTATCATAGTTTTTTTATGGCTGTCAACGTGTCTTTGGAACTCTCCTGTTAATACTGATGGATAAATTGTGTTTTGATTCTTCATCAAGTGTTGTCATCAAAATGCACGAATGCACGAACCCGTAACACTTCAAATGCACGAACCCGTAGAACGCGGCAGTATTAAAAAATTCTCATTTTCAAATATTAGTTTTTGTTAATGAATAAAGCAATATTTCACTGAAACTGCAAGTGTATGAACACTGTTGGAAGCCACTTGAACACTGTTGGGAGATATTGAATGAATTGCTATATTATTGTCTACCATATTCAGTTTGATTTTTAGGTTGTTTACAATACTTGACAGCGAACTCCACTTTCTTAAGCCTGAACTGTGCTAATGCCATTTTCTCTTGCCAAGGGTATTACAGAAGACAAGTGCCAAGAACAGTTTTTTATTTTTACTTAACATGAGCCATAAAATGTGAGTGAATTTCTGTCCACTCAAATTTTATGAGAACAAATATAAATACATCCTTCAATTCGCAGCAAATAAAAAAATTACCCTCCCAATTTTGTAGAGAAACTTAGAAAGCAAATCAATAGCCAAGTTTCTGTAGTTATTTCTCAAAAAGTAAAATTTCTGCTGATGCAAGAACCGAACAGAAATAAAATCATTGGCTTATGCTTAGTATCCAATCACACTATGCATCAGGAACTGTGGAGTAAAAGATTTCTTGAAAAAGGTAACCAATTTGATTTCTTATAGATGTTTCTTGCTTTTCTAATTTTATTGATTGATTGCTTTTATGGAATCTTTTGAGCACTACCATTTTGTGCACTACCAATTTGATTTCTTATAGATGTTTCTTGCTTTTCTAATTTTATTGATTGATTGCTTTTATGGAATCTTTTGAGCACTACCATTTTGAAAATGGCACTTGCCTTCAGTACATTAACTTGGCAAAAACATTAGTTGCCAATGAGTTGAGGATTTTTTTTATAAAGGTGTAAGTAATCAGAAAGCACCAAAATACATTTGCAAACTCTCTGCCAACAATACATTAATTTTTTTTTTTTTTTTTTTTACTTCTTTGAGCATCCAAATTCAATAAGTGACTGGGGCAAAATCAAAATAATCAATAAAACCCCAGCATCAAACAGCCTCAAAACCAGAAAGCACTAGAAATCGCCCCTAGATTGTGTTGTAACAGAAAGCTTCCTTTCAACCTATAATATATCTGCATGTTAATTCTTAAAAGTACTGCCCTGCAGAAAGCAATAAGAGAAGGGGAACTTGATCAGACATTTGTCGTGGCTTATTCTATTTGAAAAAGCCTTTAAAAAAACATCCTATCGATTTAACCCTAGCACAGCCAAGAGATGGCAGCACCTGATTACAGAGTACAAATTTTCTCTTCTAAGATCCTCATAAAGAAGGGCAGTCAGGTGTCGAACGCTTGGAGCACATGCACGTGTGTAGCTTGGAAGTGCAGATGAAATAAATGTTGTTGTTTGAAATTTTTGCATCTAATTTGATCTTCATAATTAATTATTATTGATTCCTAAGAATAAAAATTCTCCGCATATGATCGAGAACTATTGGCTATTTACACTGCTGTGAAGAGATTCCGGAACATGCTCAAAGGTCGAGACTTTATCATTTTTACTGTTCAAAAGCCTCTTATCTACGCCTTTAAGCAAAATTCAGAGAAGTGCAGTCCGCGCCAATGGCGTCGACTTGATTTCATTTCTCAGTTTAGCACTGACATTCGTCATACCAGTGGTGTTAATAATAGCGTTGCAGATGCATTATCCAGAATTGAGATAAACAACATCTCAAATTCCTCATTTCTTGATTTTGAAGCCTTTAGTCACGCTCAGAAAGCTGATGATTTACAAAATCTGCAAAACAGCAATCATTCACTAGAAATAAAGTCCATGCCCAGCCCAGTGTCAGCAACAGAACTCATCTGTGATGTATCAACCGGAATTCCAAGACCTATTGTGCCAGCATCTTTTCGTAAAATAGTGTTTGACCATTTTCAGAACCTCTCGCATCCAGGAACAACAGGATCTTGCAAATTAATTTCTGCTCGCTATGTTTGGCCCAATATGAAAAAGAATGACTGGTAAAAATTTGTGATGCATGCCAGCGATCCAAAGTTCACAAACACAGGTCTGGGTACATTTGCTACACCAGACGCACGATTTTCTCATCTGCATGTGGATTTAATCGGACCCTTGCCTCCTTCAGAGGGCAAAATGTACTGCCTCACCATCATCGACAGGTTCACCAGATGGCCTGAAGTGATACCCATCGCTGATATGACAGCAGCAACAGCATGCAGAGCCTTGTTCGAAAGGATGGATATCCCGCTTTGGATGCCCATTCTACCATCACCACAGATCAGGGTCGCCAGTTTGAGTCACCTTCTGTTCAGTGAGCTCACACAAATTATGGGAAACAAGAAGAATTCGTACACTACAGCCTTTCATCCCCAAGCAAATGGCTTAGTAGAACGTTTTCACAGAGTCTTGAAAAAATTCTTTAAAAGCCCATGAAAACCCAAGATGGACTGAATCATTACCAACAGTTCTCCTTGGCATTCGAGCTGCTGTTAAAACAGACATACAAGCATCAAGTGCTGATCTTGTGTATGGAACTTCACTAAGACTTCCAGCAGATTTATTTTCCCAAAGTGCCCAAAATACAACTCCATCTTATGAGTATGTGCAGAAACTCCAGGCACAAATGCAGCAGTTAAAGCCATTTCCCAACCAAAATCACCAAACAAGAATCTTTGTGCACCCAGAATTGCAAAAGTGTACACATGTTTTCCTTCGTGTGGACAAAATAACACCACCGCTCACTCAACCATATACAGGTCCCCACAAAGTCATAAGTCGAAGTGACAAAGTATTAAAAATATCCATAAATGGCAGGCAAAGCAGTGTTTCCATAGATAGAGTGAAACCTGCATTCATATATAATGATGAAATACAACAAATTCCTCACGAGCATGAACCTAAAGTCCCAGGAAATACTACTGGAAACTCTGTCAACCAATTCCAAAACCACAAAATCTGGATGAATTGTGAAATTTAGCAAGAGACTCATCACAGAAATTGGTTAACTTGATCATAATTACTCTGAGTTACTTCGATTTTCAATGTTCATCATATCACAATTATTCTCTACAAATTTCAGAACTGAAAAAACTCTTATTTTCATTTATTCATGTCAATTAGATTAAACCTGTATTACTTTATTTTGTTTTCTACTTTTATTTAATTTCATGTATGTAAGTGATTTCAGCAACTGACACAACCCAGCATCCCAATTCCCTTTGTTTATGCTATGTTTATGTGTAAATACTGTCGTTCTTTCACTTCGCTTGTTCACTGGGGGGATACTCTTGTTGTGGTTTATCTTATTTGAAAAAGTCTCTAAAAAAATATCATACCAATTTAAACCCCAGAACAGCTGAGAGATGGCAGCACCTATTACAGACCACAAAATTCTATCTCTTCTAAGATCCTCATAAAGAAGGGCAGTCAGTTGTCAAATGCTCGGGAATACACACGTGTGTAGCTTAGAAGTGCAGATGAAATAAATGTTAAGTTTGAAATTTTTGCAACTAATTTGATCTTCATAATTAATTAACGTCGATTCCTACGTCATTCATTCTAGCCTCTGCTGAGAAAGCAGACGAATCTGCAACTACTTTTACTTGTATATATGTGTGGTTTTAACATGCCAGCCTAGAACATTTTATTTTACTTTAAACCTAATGTAATTCTTGCTCACAATGTCTCCAAGTAATTCTGGTCATATTTTCTTTTTTAATCAAAATAATTTTTCATCAGACTGAAAAAATCATCAAGAATTCTCATAGATTAAAAACAGAGTAATAAAATAATGTACCATCTACAGCTTTTAGTTTTTTATTTCTTAGACCATGCCACTAAAATGCTCTTTTAAACTATGGAAATAAATACAAATAAGTAAGAATTTGATTCCATCACATTTAAATTCCTTCCAATTTTACAAAACGAAAGTAGGCAGGGCTTTTAAAGAGTGGTTTTTATGAATCATGCAGAAGTATATATGAATTTATGTATATTTACTAAAGAAATATTGATTATATTATCTCCTAATGTAAATTTAGTAGAATGTATCAAAATGAGGTAACCCAGAAGTATGAAATTTAAAAGGAACTTGAATGTAAATCATGAAAAAAATTTTTTTTCAAGGGGACCTGAATTTAAATCATGAAAAAGATTTTGAAAGATATTTGAATTTAAATCATGAATAACAAAAATTCAAACTTTGAAACAGAAAATTAATATACCAAGTAATTATCATCATTGATCGGAAAATAGTTGACTTTTCAAGGGGACCAAACCAACTCCCGTTCAGTGAACAATAATTAATAAATGCAAATGTGTTTTGTCTTTTACTCAAGTGAGAATGAAGATGACAAACTGGCAAATTTAGCTAAGACCAAAATTGTAGTTCCGTTAAGTTATTGGATTTTTAGAAAACTTGAGACATTAAAGCCAAATTAGAGTACCAAGAACTCATTCTGAATGTAGCATTTTCGCTAAGACAATAGATTCTTTAGAAATTTACAGTGAATAGCCAAATTATGTAGTAAAAATTACATGATACTTGAGTAAAGTGTCCCCCGACACCCTCGCTTTCATGCATGTTAATTCAAAACTATTTTTATAAAAATAATAAACAGTAGTAATTTTAACTGGATTTATGAGCACATTTCTACTGCACTTAAACCCATCAACTTTCAAAGTACATTAAATTGGTCACAACTACTGTCTGATACAGTCAAAAGTCGTTAATCCGGACTCGTCGGGACTTCGGCGATTCCAGATTATCGATTTTTTCGGATTATAGATCATCAGTTTAAATCTCGTAAGATGGCATGCAAAAATTCTAAAATTAAAAATATGAAACCGTAATTTATGAAATAAAGAACAATTATGATCTAAAGGGTATCAAAATTAAAAAAAAAAAAAAAAAGCTTAATATTTATTTGTTTAATTTATTAAACATTTCTTTCAATGTAAGTTATTTCAGTTGCTTCATTTTATGTGATAATACTTTCTCTTTAATTCTATAAACAGACATAATTTCTTGTTCAGTTACTGTTCAAGTCCCGTAATTGCTGTGCCAAGAATACCGACTAACTTGTCAATCGAAATTTTTTCGTTTTCACTAACCTCTCTGTCACATTCTTCACGTCTTTATCCATTTTTTGCAGCAATTCCACTTTTTGTTTGATGGACATCGAAACATACTTTCGTTTTGTAGATCCTTTGGGAGCTCCAGCATTGGAAATTCTATTTGACATAATCGAAAGTTCAAGTTTACTTTTATAAAATTGCTCTTACAGTCTGCAAAAAATAATAAGCCGGATCCAATTCGAAGATTAAGGAACAATGCAATCATCAACATTAACTGAAATAGATAATTAGATAATTTTAGCTTATACCCTCCGTTATACATAAAACGCGGACGCGAAAACGTATTCTGCACTTGCGCACACGCATATGCGCAGTCGTAAAGGTCTTACGCGCACGCGTAAACGCCTGTGCGCATGTGTCGACGCGGCGCATGCGCAGAAAGTTTTTAGCTTTGAGGTCCGGATTATAGATCATTCCAGATTATGGGTGTCCGAATTAACGACTTTTGACTGTATTAAAAATTAAAAAAAATAAAAATAAAAATAAAGCACTTTTTACCATTACCAAAATAGATAAAGCAAAAAATTTTAGCATTATATGAAAAAAATTCTACGTAACAATTATCAATAAAGAACTTTTCAACGCAACTCCTTATCAATTAACAAACAGTACAGAAATATCTATAATTAACAGAATTAAAACTTTTCATAAAAAAACTAAATAGCTCTTTAAATCCAAAATAAAACAGATTTACTAATGTATATGCTCTTCCCAAATTCCATAAAGCACAATTAAAATTCAGATTCATAGCATAGGAACTAATAACTATAAGAAAAAGTGTACACTATTATTTTGCACTTCAGCTTAAAAAAATTTGTAAAATTTTTTTCAACGATTGTAACACTAATCATAAATATTGCTGGATCATCCAAAATAACACTCCTGTCATTAATGCCATTCAGACTATCGACATACAAAACATTAACTGCTATTACTTTGAAAACTTATGTACCTCACTTCGTTTAGAAGAAATCTATATTAGTCTACTAGATCTGCCTATAAGGTTCCCTGTTATGCTCACTATTATGAACTTTAGTAAATGGAAAACCTACCTTAATGCACCATTTTTCATAACTACATTAAATTTCAAAATCAACTTTTTTTAAGCAAGTCTGAGGACTTCCAATGGGTGAACATTCAAGTACTTCTGTCTCTAATCTCTTTATTTATCAAAGAATTTACCTTCCAAAAAAATTTACAACAGCAAGAATTAAATTACTACACACACACTGACAGATATATAGATGATCTAATATTGATTGATGAAGCAATATTAATATGAATATAACATGGCGTAGTCGTGTGGAGTAGTATTACAACTAATTGCCAGGCAATCCCTTTGGTTGTTTTTCCTCTCAGCATACGCAAGATGGAATTTTGTCGGCCACCACAAGGCCTAAGTTTCGACAGCAATGTGGCTGAAAACTGACGCAGATTCAAGCTGCTGTTCCAGATTTATATGAAAGCGCCAGGAAATATGTCAAAAGATTCAAATGTGAAAAACTTGTAAAATCTTGCGAATTTGATGTGCAGAGTGACTCTTGTATGTGATCGCATTGCCCTTGGAGTATCAGATGCCAGTTTACAGGAGAGGATGTTGCCAGAAAATAATCCGAGTTTGGAAAAAGCAATTGAATTAGGGAAAGCAGCTGAATTGAGCAAAGTTCGTGCTCAAATGTTAAGAGAACACAATGTTGACAGTGTAACAAGAGGGAAAGCGATGCACCATCAGGCAGGAGGAGCCAATGCAGCTGTAGCAGTGAGAAAGCGCAGAGGATGGCATGATAATGCTTCAAAAATACTGAGATGTTTTTGTGTAAAAAATGCAACAGACATCACGTTAATGGAATATGGAAAAAAATGCTTTAATTGTGGCAAACTAAGTCACTTTTCGACTGTGTGCAGACTGAAGCACGTCCAAAATGTTTCTCAGCATGATAATGCAGATTTATATAGTGAATCTGATGATGAATACTTCGTGAATTCCATAAATGTTCAAAAACTAAAAGTGTGTGCTCAACATCGTCTACAAAAAAGGGGACTAAAACTATAATTGTTGAAGGGACAGCTGTGTCTTTTAAGTTGGACACAGGATCTGAAGTGAATGTTTTGCCTGTGAAAATTTATGAAACACTGAGTGCTAAAAACTGTAATCTTATTTTAAACAAGTGTAATGTTATATTAGAAGCATTTGGGGGATCCAAGGTTAACCTGATGGGCCATTAATGTTACCATGTTCCTCAGATGGTGAGGATCATACTCTAGAGTTTTTAATTGTTTCTAGCAAGCATATACATCCATTATTAGGAACTGATGCATGTGTTAACCTTAATTTGATTCAGTTTATAAATAAGATTGGAATATCAAATAAAGGTAAGTTGAATCAGTATACAACTATTTTACCTCTATCTAAAGATCAATTTATTATTAATAATTCAGAAGTGTTTGAAGGTGTGAGGAAATTTAATGGATTGTGTAAAATTATAGTAGATGATCAGATAGCTCCTGTAGTGAGACCATCATGCAGAGTACCACTTAGTTTAAAACCTAAACTTGAATTAAAATTAAATGAATTATAGAGACGGCATTATTGCAAAAGTTGATAAACCTCTGAACTGGGTTAGCAATTTAGTAATAATTGAAAAAGCTAATGGATCCTTAAGAATATGCCTTGATCCTCAAGATCTTAACAAAGCTATAAAAAGAGAACATGTGTTGATTCCAACAATTGAGGAGATTTTACCAAAGCTATGTAATAAATCAATTTACTCTGTTCTGGACTTAAAGGATGGGTTTTTTCAAATACCATTTGATAGGAGAGCAGTGATCTTTATACTTTTA